AGGGCAAGCTTGACAGTGCATCTTAACAGATAGCAAATGTAGATTTGGGGGCATTAATTTTTGTTTGTTCGGTTTTTTGTTAAACTGTGTTTTTAATATTTATCCTGAAGTAATGCTAGAGTGCTTTATCTTCTGTATTCCTGATTATGAGATGCTTACGAAAGTCAAAGCTGACTTTAGTGACTTTGCTTCATGTTAAGTCTGCAGCATTTTATCTTCGCTGTATTTTTTCTACTGGGAAGTAGCTTGTGTGTGTCTGTTACTCTGGGGTAAAAGGCACCAGTTTTGAAATTTATTTTTAGTAGTGGAAAAAAAAGCATAGGGAACCCACTCTGTGCCCTCGAATGATACAGCTGGGACATGTACGGCTTGTCTGCGTGGTATTGTTTTCTGTGCTGTAACTGAAGGAAGCAAAGGGTACAGCAGATACTGCCTTTAAATGTTCATGTCTCTGATGTTAACATTTGTTTAAAAAAGGTTAATTGCCAACAATTATGTGCTAAAAGAGCTACATCAGAAGAAAAGTCAATAGTACTAGGAAACTGTAACTTTGAATTAATGATAGAACTGAACAGTTATGCCAGAGCAATTTATTTAAGGAGGCAGCACAGTTTTTATTATAAACTGCTAAAGTGTGATGTGTTGGCTTTTTTTTTTCTTTTTCATAACTGTATAAAAAGGCATATTTACCACTCCACACTGGATTCTTCAAGTGAGTGGATAAAGAATCAAGTATTCTGATGTTTTAAATTTAACATGCTGTTCATTAGTGTTGCATATTTAAAAATAAAACTGCTTCTTGAATTAAGCTGTGTCCACTAGATGGGTTTCTTGAAGGCAAAAGGCACAGTTGTGCTTACTTAGCATGAGAACCTCAGAGTTTAAATAGCTTCTATTCATTTTGTAATCTGTGTCTATGGTAGGAGTCGATTACTGTTTTATGGTACTGGTGACTAAAATTTCATTAGTGTATCTTGAAACTATGGCAAACTTGCTGGAATCTTTTTTTCCTGCTTTCCAGCCCAGCATCCTCGGAGTTCCTAAAACTGTTCAGTCAACATTCAGCCTTTATCCAATTTGGATGAATCCCCTAGCTGGGATCCATCTCAAAACTTCTGAGAAATAGTGCTGTTTTTTCTTGGTAAGCTAGCTAAACCTTTAAAGGTTTCATATTGAAACTCTGTTTTGTTTTGTTTTTTTTAAACTTATATACACGAAACAGTCTGCTATGGAAGTGCCTTCAGGTCCTTATCTGAAAGCAGTCTTGGCCCTCCTGACTCCACATTCATTTTAGGTGGATGCCCTGTGGCTCTGAAATACCCTGATGAGAACAACAAAAAAAAAAAAACAACAACAAAAAAGAGCAACAGCCTAAAGCCAAACAAACAAAAAACACCCTCAACCCCCAAAAAAGGAAAGAGAATGAGAAAAGAAAGAAAAACTCTGGCTGGCCCAAAGCCTCTGAGGTTTTTTTGTTGCTCAGTGCCTGGTGGTATGCTGCTTGACAGCTCTAGAAAAGACTTGGTAGACTAGGCTGATCTCACGTGGATTTTATACTTTCGGTGCCATTAGGATTATGGAGTTGGCTCACTCTTGATAAATGTCAGTGTAAAGCAGCTGAGCTGGTCATGACCTTATATGCATAGTGATAATTAATAGCTGGTAAAACATGGTTCTGAAATGCAGTATACTGCCTCATCTGGGCTGTTTAGAAATTAAAATTTTAAATTGCACTTTGAAAAGGAATCAAAGACATCTTTTGCCATCATGGGCAAAAAGATAACCTCCTTCATTAAAGGATATGTGCCATATATGTCACTGAAATATATGGCATCTTCAATGCAGTTATGCTACAGAGTAAGAATTATTCATTAATTTGAGGTCAGAGGGTAGGAAAGCATGACTAATATAATACTTGATTTTAATCCGTACTTTAAATAAGGGTGGCTGTTTTAAATTTTATGGAAGGGCCTTTCTTGTTACTTTTTTCTGACATAATTTCTTACACTTACATAGTAGTAAGCTTGATCTGTGATTCTCCAGAGCCTGTTCTCCTGGACTAGTCTGTACCCTGGAGTAAACACAAAACTATACCAAAGCAAACAAGTGAAAACCAATTATTACAAAATACTCCTAAGTTACTTTAGTATGAGTTTTTTTCCCATATGTATCTCTCAACTATTTCCCCTTTTTCTATATCAGCTAATGCTAGTCTTTTCTGAGGTTAGTCAGTCTAGGACAACTTTTCACACAATGACTCTTCTGCACTTGTGTTAATTGGAGAAGAGCTTTGACTCAGTCCTGCTCACCTGAATCAGGCAATTTGTTCCACAGAACTCAAAAGGACCAAGTCAAATGCAGCTTTTGACTCTTGACTGAACGTTGGCTTGCTTTTGTTGGTTTGCATAGTCAATGAGCTACGAAGAGCAGCCATCCTCTGAAGGCAAAGCTGAAACATTTTATGATGTTTGTGAGGCAGACAGTGCAAGTTGAGATATACCCATGATGGATATTTTTTAAATTCATCAGGAGTGACTTTCTGCATTTTCCTTGTTTCTGGTGTTTCTAAAAGGGAAGGAGAAGAGAAGAAGAAAGAATTCTTCTCTTCATGTTCATTCATGTGAGGCTTAGACTTTCTGAAATTTTGAAGTTCCCAGACACGATTCCTTGCTCTCTATTAGTCACTTCTGGCTTTGTGGTGGCTACAAGTGAACTATTTAGAGAGGATGTTTTGAAAATGGACATAGCGCTTCCTGGCAGAGGAGGTGCATTCAGGCAGCGTAGCCAGGAGCCCTGGCAGAGCACATGGGAGGTGCAGCCGGGAATCTTGTTTCTTTTGCTTGTAAAAATTCAGATGGAACTTCAGCTAGCTTTTGTCATGGAAATGGTTTTACTTTGAATGAGAACAAAAGCTGTGCAGGAGCATTTGATTCCGAGAAGATACTTCTTGGCTAATTCTGCTCCCAGTTATGTCTCTTGAAGCACTCAGGAGACATGGTTGATTATTTAAAAGCACTGCAGTCTGTAGTTAATAAACTAAAAAAAAATGACAAAGACACTTTCAGATTTATGTACCGCATTTCAGTAAGATAAACAACCTTAAGACATCGGCTTTTTCATCAGAGTGGATGTGTGTGTCACACCAAGTTGGCTTTTGGTGACAACTGGCTGTTGTTTTTCCTGCCCAACTTGCTGGGACGCTTCCAGGGCTTGCATTTGGGGCCACCACTGTAAGCTTAGAGTGCGTGTACTTTTAATGGCTTTGTTTCAGTCAGGAAGAAATGAAAGGAAAATAACAAATTGAAAGAGAATACCTGTAGTTTTTTAGGCTTCTTGTATTCAGTAAATATTTCATTGGGAAACTTGTGGAAAGGTAAAAAGGCAGCAATTTAAAATTTAAATTTTGAAAACATGGTATTTTTTTGTACATTGGAAAGGTCAGTCTCACAATGAAGGAGCAAATCTAATTTTCTGTTTAGTTTTTGTTGGTTTTGAATTATACTGACTTGGGCATATAAAACAGAGCACTGAAGCATTTGCATTTCTTCTAGTTGGTTTCTGTGTCCTCAACAAAACCCTATGCAGAAGGGACTGTCCTTCTTCCTGCTGCAAGTGTGGCAGCATCACTTTTGGAGAGATTATTTTTAGAACATATCCTTTTATAACAGCTTTAGTAATAGCAGAGAGCAGTGAATTTGAAATGCCGTAGTTGCATGTGAACCAGCTCACAACAATTGTACTTACCAGCTTCTGCTGAAGCAGCTTTTGGTTTTCAAAGAAAATGGTGGCCAGTGACCACGAGTCTCTTGAAATTTTTGAACAGAGCCAGAACGTGAGATTTTTGTAAGTTTTACTGATGTGAGGAGTTTGTAGACCCTGCAGCATTCTTCTAAAATCATGTGGAAGAAAAATATGTCCCAATATGCTTTGCCCAATTCCTCGTAACTCAGCTTGAGCTGTAAACTAATTTGTTGAAGAACTCTCATACCCCTCGTAAAGTATAGTAAACTTGGAGAAGAGGAGCTATGTATTTAGTTTGTTAAAAAACACTGAAATCACAGCTTTAATTTCAAAACTTAGTTCAGCCTTACCTGTTGAAACAGTGACAACACTTTCACCTGTCTTCTTAGCTGCTGCTTAAAACTCCAGGAATTATGCAAGACGGAAAGCTGTATTTCTGTGGGCTTCTTTCCTCAAAAAATATTCTTAAACCTTAAACTGTTCTTTCTGTAGCACAGTTGAAGTTTCATTATGAATTTGATAAGAATTTATACAGTAAATATTTTGAAGCATTCGGCAATTAAAAAAACGACAAGAAGCAAGGTGAGAAAAATATCACATTATTTCTATGTGTTTTGCACCAATACTACTGTACAAATGATGGTTAGGATTTGAAATCAAGTTCTTACACATTTGGTATATCCAAGATACGACTTCAAAATCACTGAGCATTTGGCTTCCATATTTTGGGGGGAGTATTTTTAATAATCAAGGGGAAGAGCAGAAATGAGATGACATCAGTAACAACTAAAATACAAATCTTTGGAACATTTGTGCCATACCAGCTGTCCAAGAAGCATCGTCATCTTCTGACAAACGATATCCTCCGAGGCTTGATGTATAGCACTCAAATATGCTTTTTCAAATACTTTGCTGACTGAATGACACATTAGAAAGATATTTGAGAGTTGTCTTTCTAGAACCATGCAGATATGAGTCTTGCCTTACTGACCCAGGGAGATGTATAAGCATCTAAGTGATGTGTAGCTTAGCGATGCTCCCTCAGCAAAGAAGGGACACTAGGTTTACTGGTTTTACAGTTTGTCTGTTGCCTTACTTTGTACTACCTCATATCAACTCTTGTTTTAACATGCTTTTAACTAACTCCTATTCCCTTGAGAGATTAATGCTTGTACCCCTTAGCACTCTTGAGAAAAGAAATATTAAATGTGGTAAGATGGATTAATTTTTCATTTCACTGCTCATTGCTTTCCTTTCAGCTTCTTGCCTGATTACATCAGTGGTGATTTTGATTCCATTCAGCCTGAAGTCAAGGAGTACTACAAGGTCAAGGTAAATAAAATCTCTTTGAGTTTATGTGTGTTAGAGCATTGTAGGATCCAACCCATTAGTGCCCCCGTTGGTCATGAAGTGATTCTGGCTCTGTTGGTTTCTTTTGAGGCTTCGGTTGTGAAGCACCTTACAAGCTCAGATGTTGTGCTCTGCCTGGCACGGTACTAATGCTTGAAGTAAACACGGGAGGTGCGGTCCTCCCAGAGTCCTGTGTAGGGTGCAGTTTCATAGCACAAACTCAAGAAATAGATCGTACGTTGCTGGAGATTATAGCAACTAGAAACTAGGATAAAACTTCCTGAAAACTCTGTGACTTCTTTTGCTCAGTGAGATACAGAGCAATAAAGATTAACCTCCCATGACTCCCACATGGCTGGCACCCACAGACTTTCTGGAGAGAGTTTCTCTGTGTGATTTTTGCATTATATGACTTTACCTTTTAGCGAGAAGCTGCAGATGGAGACATCTGTCTCTTTCATCACCCACTGAAGCATTGAATTATGCCCCGACTACTTCTGTGCTTCACTAGTGGAGTGCCCTCCTTAATGAGTTTTTGGACAAATTCCTGCATACATTAATTTATTCCCAGTGTAGCCACCGCATTTCCAGTGAGCAACGTAAATGTAAACTCACATTTCTTAGGCCTTAGGGCTCAAAGTTCTGCCTTTAGCTGACTATTTGGCATTTAACGTTTTGCCGGCCTGCCTGTATAGGCTTTTGTGCTGAGCACAGTGCTTTACCCTCACGTCTTGGACAGCAGGTTTCTGCAAATTCAAGAGTTCGCCTCAGTGCACCGGCTTGCATTTACAGCAGGCTGTACTTGCAAGAGCAGTAAGTGTTTGATCCTTGTGAGCTAGTGGACTTAGAGGTCTGTGATGTGTCTGCTGCTAATTCAATGTGTGAGGCTGAAATTTGCCTAAAATCTTCCCTGATGGACGCGGGATCAAATGATTGGGAAAAAAGGTTTCAAAGTGTGAGGGGAGGGCTGGAGGAGTGTATAGGACTGGGTTATAGTCCCTCTCTGAGCACTGTGTGCTTTTTTTCATGTTCTACCTCATTGATTGGAAGGGAGAAGTGTGTGATGGCTGTCCATCTTGCGAGAACAGCTCAAGAAAAATGCTCGGGAATCTTTAGGTTACAGCTTGGGAAGTGAAAATGAAATAAAAAGCTTTGGATTAATGCTATTCATTACAGACAGGAAATTCGTGGTCTGTGAGTAAATGGGGAAATCGCAAAACCCACTGCTCTGTTTGGCATGGACATGGGTATTAATGCCTACATAAACTGCGTGTTGGTTGGCAGGTGAGACTTACCAAAGAATGTGGGTTAAGGATTTTTCAACAGAGAGAGAGGAGATGGAGGAGGTAGGAGGGGGAAGAATACAGGAGGATATGGAAAGCTAACTGGTATTACACTTTTTCACGGGGATTGCTTTTCTGGCCGTATCATGCCTTTTGTCAGCTCCATTGTAGCTGACTGTTGATGTGCCGTTTACATCTTCTCTATGAACGTATAGTGAACCATTCTGCTTCATACAGAGTTTATACACCCATGCAAGTGCTCGGCCGTGATAGGGTGTAAAGGAAGCAGTATTTCATCAGGATTGTAAGGGTGTAATGAAGAGCATAATCTAGCCTGCAAAATCCTTGCCTGGGGTCCTCATACGTGGCTGAGGAAAAAGCAGTTTGACTTTAGGATTTTAAGTTTGGGTGTACATGATAGGAAAAATAATTTTTTGCATTTTTAAATTAAACTTCTGTATTAAAAAAATTAGAATGGTAAATACTGGGTGAGTGTCTAAGGAGATCTTAACCAAAAAATATAATAAAACACAGAATTTGGAAAGAGGCATGTGCTTCTTTTCTTGTAAAGTACCTTGTCCAGTAAAGCACCCTCTGTAGTCCAGGCAACTTCCAAAGTCATGGTCATTTGGAAATGTTGTATGTGATGATGATAGGTTCAGGGCTGCCTAAAACAGGCCGCGGGAGAACTTCAGGTGAGTAGATTGGTGTAGCCAAGCCACTGACTTGAGGGAAGGACAGTGTCACATTGTGAGTTAGGGTTGCTTCCCATGCTGTCCTTCCTCCCTCACTGAAGCACTCCCTCACCCGCATGCAGATTTCACCCAGAGACGGGGTAAGCTGTTATCATTAGATAGCATTACTATATTGTTTGAAGCATTCTCTTTCATCAATTGTCGATGAATGGGAAAATGGAAGAATTGTGTAGTGAAGCTTAGACTGATGTGGTGTTGCCGTTTTCAGTGTACAAGTGGATGAGAATCCACCGAAGTTCCGCCTGCTAACTATCTGATCAGTATTTCCCTGTACAAAGAAAAAGCCCTTTCCCATGCTAGCTTTTGATATTCGTGGTCAGTTACTTTGACATTGGCATGCTCCTACAGCCTTCCCCTTCCCCAGTCTCGCTTCCAAATACTTTTGCTCAAATGGAAAGCCTGAACCATTCTTATCACATTACCTGAAAGCACATACATTTGTCATGTGATGATCACTCCAGTTTCATCTGCCCAGGTTCGTACCAACAATTTCATTAATTAGCTGGACTTCTCTGAAGTTGAGCGTGTTACCTTCAGACAACTAAATATTTATTTTTACTTTGAAATGTGTCTCTGGGTAAACTTTTTCAGGTCATTAGGTCTTCATCACAAAATAACAAGAATATCCACTTACTGCCAAGCTACCCTTCCTGTTCCAGCAGGCAGTGGACTGTCCTGCCTGAATTTTCCTGGTCACATGCACCTGTCCTGAGCTGCTGCCAGGCCGGGGTTAGTAATGACTTACATGGTAGCTATAGCTTTAGATTCGAAACTCACACTTTCTATGTAGAGTATTTTATACTGTAACGCAGATTTTCATGTCTTGCTGCCCCCTGCTTTTTTCCATATATACCTAATGTAACTTATTCCCAAATGTTGCACAAAGGAAAGGTGAGACTTTATGAAGGCACTTACTTGGGGTGAGTCAAGAACTCTGCTGTCTGGCTGTAACATTACTGTGACCTGCAAGGAAGTGCCCCCCCATTTCCATTCCTTTGTACGTGTGTAACCAAGTAATTCATTATGGCCAGCAGAAAGGAGGAGCTATCACATGCATGAAGTGAATACAAAGGAAAGTGAAGCAAGGAGCAAGTGCTGAGAGTTACTCATCCTCTGCACTCCCATCTGCCCTTAAGTACAGGGAAAAGTCATGCCAACTTTTCTATCCCTGAAGTCTGACTCGATTGCTGTAGAGTCATCTTCCAGTTGAAGGGCAAGTGGTGCTGAAGGAGCTGGAGGTTCCTTCAGTATTTCAATTGCAATGATTTAATTTATACCAGGAATTGAAGTGATTTTTTTCTTTTTCTTTGAGTTTATGAAGCTGAAGGTAAGTTTCCCTGTGGTTTTTATAAACATGCTTTAAAATTCTGTTAAGTATTACATTTACAACAGAGTGCCAGTGACCTTTTTTTTTTTTTTTAACGCTACCCATATTGAGAGAAATTAATTCATCATGACTTCTTTTATCTATCTGAAGATAGCATGCCACTGGTTAAAAGGAGTTACTTTTTCATAGTAAAGCTTATGGATGTTAATTATTGAGTTATAAACCATACTCATTTACAAGTGTTCATGTCAAAGACAGCCTAGTGTAGTGCTCAGTAAGAAGGGGGAGTATTAAATTCGGTGTGTGAAACTAATTATGGTTCTCTAAAGCGTTGTCCGTAAGCAGTTGTGTCATCATCACGAAACAATGACAGGCCTGACTCCTCCATCACACCGGCTTCATGCCAGGATGCTGCTACAAGACTCGGAAGGTTTTGTACTTCATTTAAATGACGAAAGCAAGAGCAGATATATGCCATTAGAGGAAACACGGCATACAGATTCCCGAAGCTGAAGGGTTTTACTGGAAGGGACATCTTTAAGCCAATTCCTCTGATGTTTTTAGTTGAGTGAGGATTACATGGCAAGTGTTTCCAATTTCCCTTAAGGAGGATTATCGCCACTGTGTTGGGGAACCTCATATAAATAAAGTTCATAAATGTGAAGCAAATAAATCCATTTTATCTCTGTTAGGTGTGGCATGCCATAGTAGTGAAGAGATCTAAAGGCAAAAGTGCTGTTTTTTCAGTTGCGTTGGAAAGTAATCGTGTAATAGACTTATGGGTGGGATATGTAAGGGATGGGTTAGGCGTGTTATGCTTTTGGGAGAGAATAAGTAAGCATGCATCATAGGTTATTCAGCTTTACTTTTTTTCTGCAGTCTTGCTTTTGCTTCATTGGCTTGTCAAGTAGGTACTTGTAGTCTTTTATTCTTTATATTAAAAAATTACTGATGATTTCCCCCATTTCTTAGAGAGTTAATGTTAAAACTGGATAAAACTGCACCACAACTGGAAATGGAATATCATGTTTAAATTTTCCTTTTTAAATCATATTGCACTGTAAATGAAGGATAAAGAATAACAATTCAACATTCTTTATTCTGTATATTTTGTCATTGTTAAAACAGATATTGAGAAGAGGTTTTGTACTTTCATGATAAATATGCATGTTCATATGATCCCATGATAGATGCACTGGCAGTCTTTCTCTGTATAGTCTGAAGTGCGTTGGAAAAGACACTGCACAAAGCAGTGGTGGTATTTCTGTCATTGCAGTTCCTTCTGTTTCTTGCTTTAGCTGAATGTTTCTATTATTGAAACCTTTTAAACATTACTTTGATGTTAAAGCAGCCATTTGTATTGTTATGCCTCAAACAAGGATCAGTTTCTGAAGTTTTGAGACCAAAGACATTATCTAAAATTATACCAAATCTGTACTTATGCCTAGAAGCAGAAGGTTGAATCCAGTGCCCTTTGAAATCCAGATTATGCTATTTATGAAAAATCCAGTTTGGCTTTTCCACTAAGCAAACTTCATGTGCTTTAAAAGGCTTCTGTAGACTTAGTAGGCTCTGCTTCAGATCTGTAATTAAATGCTGTGAACTTATGTACAAGTC